GCGGGGGGAGTGAAAGCTACTTTAACCTTCTTTTTTTTTGCCTGAGATAATATATTACCAAAAAATACAAAACACACCCGCATTTTAATGTTCTGCATGTGCGAGTTAATGACTTTAAGATTCTAGAATTCCAGTCCTCCAACTTATAATTTTATAGGAAGACAAGGTTAAGAATAAATATGACACTACAGTATTTTCAATTTTCTTTTCTCTCATTCTCGCGAGCGTGCTCTCTCTCTCTCTCTCTCTCTCTCTCTCTCTCTCTCCCTCCCTCCCTTTATCCCTCCCTCTCTCTCCCTCTATCTCTCTCTTTCTCTCTCTCTCTTTTTTTCTTTCTCTCTCTCTCTTTTTTTCTTTCTCTCTTTCTATCTCTCCATCTCTATCTATCAATTTCTATAATATCTCTTTTCTTTAAAAATGGAAGTTTATTTTTTAAACTTGAAAGAACGTATAAGCAACCAGCGTCTGTAGTACCGTAGTGTTACATTCTTCACCTGGCTCACAAAGTACATGTGCGTGAGTTCGCTGCCCTACACTACAGTGGCTGAAATACTTTATCAAACATATTATTACATTATTGTTGTCTTTCTGACAGGAGGTACCTCCCACACAGCCAGTCCAGGCTACTGGCCGCAAAGTCGATATGATCATCCCGCTTCCAGAAAAATAGACTATGTTTATGGCTATACATTCACATTCACAAATTACTGCTATTTCGTCGGTCAGCTGTTATTACTGTTAAGATGTATTGTGCTCCAATTTTTTAAATAAATTATTTTAAGGCGGTTTTCCTAATCTGTGGTATAGGTTGCATGTGCTGATAAAAACAAAACAAAAAAACCCAACAGTTTGCCGAAGTTCAAGTTCCAATAAATGTTGATAAAAAGAAGACGACCCATTCTCAATAAAGACCCTGGAGGGTGGTTTTATTTGCCATAATTTTATTTTCTACTGAACTATTTCGATAATTTCTACCTTTGAATCTGATGGGGTGATTACGTAAAATTTTAGATCCCCGTCTCTTGAGTAAACTTACTGTATTAAACAGGGTGAAATTAATTAATTTATCATTAACACCTACCCTACTATTATCCCCTACTGTTATGTTATCCTATTGTTATAAGTTATACAAAATAGCTTGGTTTGTTTTGTTTGTGCGTTTTAGTAAAGAGAAGCATATCGACACAATAACGGCCATTTAGTGCTGAGAAAAAGAAAGGCAGAAACAACAGAGGGAGAGTAAAGCAGTAGGACTTACCAGTTGCGTCCTCCAACTCCAACCACCCGCAAAATAGTTTGGAGTTTTTAGAAGATAATGCCAGAAAGACATAGCGAGAAGTTATTTTTGAGGGGTAGATGCGCGCGCGCGTGTGTGTGTGTGGGGG